AATGCTCCAGATATTTGTATCTTTTTGCGAGAAAATTGGATGCTCTTGTAAAAATCTTCGGCAAAAATTAATTTGATTTAAGGTATATATCCAAAATACAAACAAGCCACTTAAAAAATAAACAGCGAATGCAGAATATAATATCGACTGAATGGTCGGACATCACGGCAGGTTTAGGCTTTTCGATAGAAAAAAAAATCTCATCAGCGATGATGGTTCTATTTATTTCTGTAAGTTCCCGGGGTATACCTGTGAATGGGCTAATTTCGTGATCAGCTTGAGTTGGATCACCTATCCTTGAATTCAAAAGTAAAATGTGCGGAAATGTAAACATTRACAATTAAAGATCAATAGAACGAGGAAGATGTCAACGGGGCGTTGCTTTTATGCCTGAAAAGTTAGGGCTATTTTAGGCGGTTGACTGACAGCTAATGCTACTTTTGACTTTTCGATGCCTAAAAGTACGTCAATTTTATGTCAATTGATATCAAAAACGGAACAAGCCGCTCTATTTGGAAATTACACACAAGGCGATTAAATTTAGTAAGCAAATGGAATAAACTTGATTAAAACTCATGCAAAATGAAAGAAATATGAAACTACAGTGAATTGAAACGCTTATAATAAGTATAATAGTGAATAAGATAAAAAGGTATTCAAACTGCTACCCGGCAAATTTTGCTTMAAAACCCAAAACCAAATAGCTAACTGAACAGGGTTTTTTTTATGTCCCATTCCCTTTTTTTCTTTTCTTTCATCCTAGAAGCAGCGCACGACATCTTATTATACCTTTCCCAGCAGTCAAATGTCAGATTTCCATTTCATCACTGACCTTGTGACCGAGTACATTCACCTTGTCCCAAAGATTCATGAAATTATATTTTTGGAAGCAGAGAAATCCCAAGTCCCATTTTACCCCTGTTTATAGCGTATTCAGAAAAATAGTTAGAGGCGTACCAAACAAAACAAGCCGAAAAGTCAATCAATTTCATTCCCATTTTCCAAGCAAAAAACAGGACAAAGGAAAATTCCAGCTCACAACAGTTGAGTTTCGCTATCTCTTTTACGCTGTGTTAGCCATGATTATGCGCAAAATATTAAGAAATTTAGATAAAAATCATGAAATTTCAAACCATTTCCATAGATTGCACTGGAAAAAATCGCGCGCTTTAAAGGTTGTAAATTTGATGTAAATATGATTTAAGTGTCCAAAATTCTGTAAATTTGATGTAAATGATTTCCATTAAATTTACAGAATTTTGGACACTTGCATCATATTTACATCAAATTTACAACCTTTAAAGCGCGCGATTTTTTCCAGTGTTGTCTTCTATAAACACGGATCTCTTGCATTTGCACGGGCTGTTAGTGAATAAATAGAGGATATTACATGGTTTTGAGGCTAACAAGGCGCAAAAGAGATCGCTAAAAAGGTTTATCCATGGCTCTTTACTCGGAGATGCTGAATGAGTATTCCAATACAACAAGCAACTTACATCTCACCTGTTAGTAAGTCAGTAACAGCTAGCGATAGCAGCAACTTGTTATAAGGCCTTCGAAGCAGCACTCGTTTCCGTGCAAGAACTGTACAAAATAAACTGTTCCCTAGAATCGCTGCAACGGCGATGAAACCGAAAACAAYCCTCTTATAAGCAAATCCTTCCGCGAGCATTTTCCTTGAATAGGWTATGTTCTCGGCATTAATAAACACCTCYGAGTKGTTTGGTTTYACAATGAGTTTCATCYTGTAGATGGCCTTGRGTATCATCAATTASGCAGCGATAAAGAATATAGGCTTTGACTCAGCTGGAGCCTCTTGCAACCAATTAATATGAATGTTTTGTTCTCAATAGATAGCGAACGCATTGAGTGATGCCCTCTTTATTGCAAGTACATTGAAACACTAAGATTCAAAGTTCAATCTAAATGGCCCAAGTTAAAACGCATGCGGAAAATATCATGCGGTTTCCCTCATTTCCAGTCCCTTATACTAAACGCCGGAAGGCTTTGAGCGCATTTTTTCTAAATTAAACCACATTATGAACACATTTCACAATGATAAATGTGACGCTAAGTATTGTGAAATTAGAATACTAAAAGGATATTTAATTCACGAAGTCTTTAGAAGGAAATAAAGATCTCTATGCCTTGCTCAATTATATCAACTCGTTTAAAAAGTGATTATCCCTTGCGGGAGTTCTCTACCGATCCGTAGATTTTTGATGACTTTAATCATACTTTCTGTGTATGTATTTAGGAAAGTAAGACGGTCGAACCTCTATTTAGCGAACAAACTCCCACTCAATTTAAAGTGGTCATTCATTTCCCCAAAAATTGTTTTCATTCATTTTAGATCTCTAATAAATGGTCACCTCTGTAATGGGTCAACTGGTGTTTCCCCAGGGGATGAACGTTTTATAGAGCGGTTCGATTGAGACAATAATCTTTCCTACCAATGCATCACTTTTACCGTATAGAGAATATAACCAAAATGACAGAGGTTAAAGATAACACATTTATAATACCGCTAGAATATTTAGAGTATAGATTCAACCTTGCGCACACTTGATTGGTCCAAACAGCGTGATAATTTCACCAGTCAGTGCACACTCTCGAGGACACACATCGTCATATCACCATAAAAGCAATAAAAAATGAATTGCCGTGGCAGTTTGGTGATATATTTATTATTGGACATTTAGCAACTACGCAATAGAGATATATATCAGTTGACACTCTTAAAACACATATTTATTAACTTCGCCTTGGGCTAGAGTATTATATAGAGTATTATATATTCAGGAAAAGCCGTTGAGCAATTTCCCATCTATTTCATAATGTAGATGATTTGCTCGAAAAAATGAAAAGCAAAATAAATATTGGGGAAATAATGTTATTGGATGTACTGTTTTGATCTTAATGATTGGTTTCGTTATCATTGAGAGATGATAATTAGACTTGACTACGCGGTTATTGCACTTCAAACGTATGTCAAAAAGGTAGCGTTGATCTTGTTAAATTTCCAAGAGCGAGTAAAGAAAAAAATATAACATCATTTGCGATATTGAAGCAAAAGGTGCGTAAAAATACTAGAGTGTTTGACCAACCAACAATCAACAAAGCTAAACAAACCGAACCTAAATACCATAGTTAATAGAGGGAGATGGAGTCCCCTCTATTAACTATGTAAATACATATGAACAAAATACAACACTTAAACAATGAAACAAACCTGTAAAACAACAAAGAAAACTCACAAGATATCTTTTTAATATCAGTCGCAAGTCACAATGAGTGGTGCACTAATAGCAACCCGCTTTCGTAAAAGTGGGAAAACTATAAAATATACATTTAGCGCACTAAAATCTTACACTGAGCCTGTATACTGCCGTTTTAAAAAAAGGCTCACGACCAAAAGTTAATATGGGTACTGATTATTGAAGGCAAACTCTTATGTCAACGGTAGTCAATAATTTTCTTTTCACTGAAAGAATATCTTCGATGATAATTTGCTTGGTTTGTCGTTGTTTTTTTAAGCGTGGATTTCACTGGCGCATAAGCATAGGTATAAGCACGAGAGTCATATGCGCCAGTGAGAATCGGGCTCAAAATAAGCATGAGCACAAGAAAAACGAGCAAGGCTTGATCTTCTTGTGCTTATCTCATGCTTATCTCATGCTTATGCTCAGTGAGAACGGGACTGCATAGGCATAAGCATAGCTGGTACCGAAATAATAGGCCCGTGCGCATGCTCAATGTCTTATGCTTATGTCGAGCCCGTTCTCACTGGCGCATATGATTCTCATGCTTGTGCTTATGCTATGCTTATGCGCTAGTGAAATCCACGCTTTAGTAACCAAGTGAATTTCATCAACCACGGGTAGTTTCAATCGTGCTTTCGCAGTTTAGCTCCGACAACCCTTGAAATAGTATATTTGTTTCGAGACAAAATTTGCGATGGAACCGGCGTTCTTTTTCCCAGTCGGCCTCAACGCTACAGTCGAGCGAAATTGTAGCGACTGCCTCATACTAGAAGGAAATTTTAGTATCTGCAAATTTTTGAACGATTACAGGTCGTGTCGGACCGTACCGGAAATTCAGTTTCAAAAACGTTTTTTTCAATAGATACGCCCGAAGTACGTGAAAATGTTTGTATCTACAACAACAACAACAACAACAACAACAACAAAGATTTTCGCCATCGCGAGGAGTATTTCTTTTAGTTATCCAGGCCTGTATTATAGTTCACGCGTGCTGGGTTCTTCCTTGATCACAGCTCACGTTTTCACGAGTCACGTTCCGTTTCTTAACTAAACTCTTCTCATTATAAACAAGTAATTTCCAACTATTAAATGGGTGTTTTGGCACAAGTGCACTAAGATTTATTATAGAATATATTGAATCACTTGAAATAAGGATTAACTCTCCATTGAGCTTAGTGTAAAGACGCTTTTAAAGTATTTTAAAGAGGTTAAATGGTTTATAAATTAGAAGCGTTCATCATTTTAACTGCAGAGACATATTGTATTGTCTCCGGTTCCGTGCCGCGACAATGCAAATGACGAGTTTTTCTTGCACAATCGAAACATTCATGTCCCATATAAAGAAAATGTGTAAAAAATGTTTGCATTTTTATTAAAGTGAGAGGATTTCTCATTAATCCTTACGCAGATCTTTTAAAAATCTTTGGGCTCCAGTCAAAGGCCCACGTTGAGAAAGCCGTTCAAACTAATTTTTAGCATCCACTGCGGACGGTCAGTGGTGTTGCGTTTAAATCCCACCCCACACTGGAAAATATCGCGCGCTTTGAAGGTTGTAAATTTGATATAGATATAATGTAAATGTCCAAAATTCTGTAAATTTGAAGTAAATGATTTCCATTAAATTTACAGAATTTTGGACACTTACATCATATTTACATCAAATTTACAACCTTTTAAAGCGCTCGATTTTTTCCAGTGAAACTTTTGGGAACATATTAAACTGAACCACAAAATAATACCCAGTGCAACCACATTTATATTTTGTCAATGATCGCAATTGACGTTTTGAAATCATATCCTAATATATTTGTCAGTAAGAGCATGCTACTCGCACTGAAATCAGTGAATTTTTATTCTAAATGAATGTAATTTTTTCCTACAATAATTGTTAATGACATTTATATAAATCTAGTCAATATATTTTACCTTATAAGAAAAAATGTATCACTCATGCTTTCGAAGCTATTATTCGACATCCACCCACATGAGTAGATTCATTAAAAATGGCGTTTATTTTACTGTAGAAGTAAAAGAGTGCATCATATGTCTCTTGGCCAAGAACGCCCACATGTCGCTCCTTTGCAGCAATGAAGCTGTTGTATCTACTGTTTACAAAGGTTCTCCAAGAGTCGGTCAAGTCCTCAAACTAGGAAGAAATAGTCACTCCAGTCAACTCTCGCTTTATGGACACCCCGCTATTACGGACACCTCCATATTACGGACACTAAATACTGAATCCTCAGTCAAAAATACAAAGAAATGACTGAAAGTATAACTCCCGTTATTACGGACTCTCGCTACTTCGGACACTACATTACGAGTGTGTCCGTAATAGCGAGAGTTGACTGTATTAGATTGACTGTAGCATCTCTGCTACAGTCAACCATCCCACCTTCAGTTAGGCATGCGCATAATGTTCAACCATTAAATGTCCATCGCCCAGTCATTCATCTTTCAGTCAATCACAACCACTGACTCTTACTATGCATAATAATTACAAAACTGCTATGTTGCGGTAAATACAACAGAAATCAGACTTTCACTCACAAGTCCATGTTGTACATACCACAATATTTCTATATTACACAGGTATCCAATAACACCCAACAAAAGTACCATACAAACCTGTATATCTGTGAACCCAGCATCCTTCATCTGTTTAATGTACTCATCCTTTGAGGGAAGGTAAGGGGCATACACGTCCTCCAGTAATGATTTTATTTCAGCTGACTCAAAGTCACTTAGTTTGTAGAAGTCTTCAGAATAGCTAAAATGAAATTAAACCAGAAATTTCTAGCCTGCTTTGACTAGCCAGCTGATATCCATACTGGTATGTAATTCTCATATGGAATTTCAAAAAATATTACACA